TCTGAACACTTCTATTGTAGAAAGAGTGCTTGGAAAGAGTAAGGGAGTAAATACTGTCTCAGTTTGTTTGCTATTTTAATGCAAGGGAAAAAAAAAAAAGAGGAGCTAAAGCTTCTGATTAAAAAAAACTACGCAGAAAAAATAGCTTGTTAGTTTCAAAGAATACACTTGCGGAGAATTTTAAGGAAAAAAACAACAAAGGAACTAACGAAACCCATCAGTCTTTGCAAAATTTATTTTGCTGGGGAAATCCATATTTCATTAGTTCCTCTGTAAACAGTCAATAGCATGGGCTCGGTAGAGAGTGTTTTACAAGCCTTTATATAATGTGATAGATCATTCTCAATGCTCATATTTACAGCTATTTACTTACATGCCGAAGTCAATCTTCAGTGCTATATACAACTGTTACTTCCAACCTGTTCACGTATTCTCAGTAATAGTAAGTAACCTTGGAGTCAAGCCTGTCCTGCTTCGATTGGACCTGTAGCCCTCTTGCTTCCAGGTTAAGTAAGGTAAAGGCAACGCTGAAGTTTTTCAGACAGAAAGGATTTATCTGTAGTGGTAGTCTGTTGCACAAAATTGTGGAGTCAAATTTTAAACAGCCTTATATTTGCAAGGTGTCAGTAACGCGGCATGTCAGAAAGAGGAAGCTCAATAAATGTCATTTTTTAATATATTCTATATATTTTAAAGTATATATAGATATATTTATTTTATGTATTCAAATATTTTTCCTTCTGGATTTGATTTAGCAACGTCAATCTCATTAAAAGGTACAGTTTCACTTGCTGCGTGCAAGTTCCTTGCTGTGTGCTGTGCCTGTAATGGCAAAGCCTCGCTGCTGAACTGCTCCTTCCTCCTAATCCCAGTTGTGGATGTCTTTGGCATTCTGTGCCTTATCCCAAAAGAGCTGGAGTTAAAGAGTATAACCAGGGAAGGATATTGCAGTGCCTATTTCAGAGATAGGCTCCTTAGTTTGACTTAATGACAAATAAGAATATGAATAAAGTTAGATATATGCTTATGGGTGTCTCGGATTAGGGTGTTTTCTTGAGAGAGGCCAGAGGATGGATAGCAGAAGGTCATTGCTGTCTGCTACCAAAATAAAAAAAAAAATTTAAATTCCAACAACCGTGTGCAGCTATAGCATAGCATAAAGATGCATTAGAGACTAAGATAAAAGCTCAGAAAGCTTTTATCTTGGTACCAAAAGCTATTTACACATACTCAGGTGTATATGCAAATATGCAATAGCTAGTTTTATATGTTTCAGGTGTGGATAGCTGGGAGTAGAAGTAAGGCCTCAATAGAGATTACTACTGCAAGGTTTAGAATCTGGATCTTTCTGAAAAATACCAGAATCATGAATCCCTGAGCTGGTTGATGGCTAGGGAAGAATGTCATGAGGTCCATGGTGTGTACAGACAAATGTGAAAAAATAACAAGAATGCATTCAGTTTTAGCTTGTCTTTGCTAATAAGCTCTGTGCTCAGTTCTGGGAAGAAACCTTATTCCATGAAGTAAGAACATGCAGATGATGATAAAAAGTTGCTTTATGAGGTGAACATACAACAAACATGTTCAAGCCTGTATAAATATATGTAGATGTTTAACGTGCTTACAAGATTGCACATGTGTAATTTTACTCAAGGTCCTTATTAGTTTTTTTTTTCCTGAAACTTTGAACAGCATGGATAACTGAGTGATTCTGTTTAACCCCTTGTAATTTTATTATCCGTATATCTTCCAAAAATTTTTTAAAAAAAGATACCCTGAAAGATTTTTTCCTATAAAATTTTCTAGAACTCATCTAGAAATGAAATATTGTCTGGTACTTGCAGTTCAGAGTAAGCATTAGGGTCGGTCACTAAACCCTTAAACCAACAGGTAAACACTTTGGAAATAACTGTACCATTTACTCCTTACTGAAGAATGTGCTAATTTTAATTGGCAGATTTTAGCAGATGTTTTGTATTTGTCTACTTTAGAGATAAGTGTAAAGCAAACAGGCGATGTGATATTTTTGGTTTAACGAGCACTGGAATCATCCTTTGAAGGAAGGAACCTCTAGGAAAACTGGAAGTGGCTGTAACCAGGGTTATTATTCTTACAACTTGGCCAACTACAACTAATATCGTATTGTTTATTCCCTTAACAGAGCTGGGTATTACTGTAGCAATGCGTCTTATGGCAGTGTTCTGCTACAGTAAAATGTTGGCAGTGCCTTAGTGAGCTACTTCTTTGAAAATGGAGCCTTTCAACATGCAGATGTGCTTTATTATCACATTATTTCAAACCTGAGTACTGCTAGTAATACATATGTATATGCTTGAATTTTTAAAAGATCAAATGCTAAGAGGTGCTCAGCATTTGGAAAGCAAAATACCTTACCTGCCTATAACATTACAATCAGATGTCTAATTTGTGACACTAAAACATGAAAAGTATGACTAAGATTTTTAATAACTCTTCACAGACAACTCCATTGTCACTGAGTGCATTTTGACTGTTCATTGCTCCTAAATTATACTTGAGAAATCGGAAAATGCCACATGTTAAAAATGTATATTGCTAGATACTTTACGTGGTAAACCTTTATAAAATACAGCCTTCGATATTAAGTATGTAGCTGATGAAGCAGTAATAGACGTTGCTTGTATTTAGTATGCCTGTGATGGTTCTTTTTAAGGTTTTAGAGAAAATTACGCTTGGATGCTGCTTTCTAATTACATAAACTTTCGAATTGAAAAAAGTTTCAGGCATTGATACAGATCAGGAATAGGCTGTCAAAAGACATATAGAATCATATTAGAGCCATATGGCCCAAGTTATACGTGCACACTTTGCATATGGCATACAGCTTTTTAAACACAATGATTTGTATGAGTAGGTGCTTCTACGAGTCGCGCACAGGGAGAGCAGGATTTGCAATGCCAAGCCCTGTCTCATGTGTGTAAGCAATAGATGCTACCATCTGCATATACATGTGATTCTGCTGAAAATTCCTGCTGCACAGAAATCCTTCTTTACGTTGAGAAGTCAGGGTTTAAAATAGTCGTTTTCCAAAGTGACAGTAACACACTGGATTTGACTGGTTGATTTTAAGTCTGTTTTTTAGATTTTCTGCAGTACAAACCTTTTGACAATTCCAGTTTCTAGGTTAATGCATTACATTTTTAAGAAAGAATGTTTAAAACCGATATAGAAATTAACAGGAGTTTTGCTTGTGCCCTAGCTACCACTTTAGAGAAGATAGTACTCTTAGCTGCCTGTAATATGTGCAGATGGTTTGAGGATTAGAAGTGTAAAGATACTGAAGAACGTGAAACCATCTCCTAAGGAAGCTTATGTCTGCCCGCATGTCATCAGAAACTCAGGCAACTTTCTCTCTTAGGAATATATAACCTTTATAGTCTTCTGAACACTTATTTCTGGAGAAGACCTGGACCACTTCTTTACTTGATAATTACCGAATGAAAATAATGGTCTGAGGAAGTAACATTATCATCCAAGACTAGATTATCAGTTGATGTTAACTGGTACTGTCCTGTTCACTTCGGCTCTGTATATCAGATGAAAATGTGGCTATTAGGAGATTCTGGTGCATAAGCTTAAGTAAAAGTAGAGATTATTGTATTCAAAAAGATTTGTAGAAGAAATAGGCATTAGATTAGGATTATAATAATATGCAAATGTGTTGCAGGGCCTGGATCTGACCTAACTTCGTATCTCCTTTCACCCCACGGAATAGCTGGGACTGAGAAAACAGGTTCTAGTCTTTATCGCAGATTTCTTGGGTGACCTTGAGCAAAACACTTAATATCTCTGCACCTCATTTCATGGCAATGTTGTGGAGATACATTCCTTACTATTTTCAGGATAGCAATCCATAAAGATGTTCAGAACCCTGTTAATCCAAATGCCTGTTATGAGGTTTTTGTAAAAAAATTTTTTGCTGAAAAAAGTTTCACAGTGGAAATTAGGAAACCACTGCTGAAACAAGAAGCAAACAAGAAATTCCCAGAATTATCTGATACCTTGATATTGGAGTGTGTGCATGTTTGTGTTGAATCAACTGGGGGAATTTAATTTGTTGTAAAAGTTTTAAATCATTTACATTCCAGAACGATTTTCAGTGTTATCAACTTTAGAAAACACGGTTGTGTTAGGAAAGATTCTCTTAATGGCAAAAATGTAATGCATATTATAATTTTAAAGAACTACATCCTTTTATCTTGATATATGTTATTTTGTATATATATGTATGTATGTGCTTATATAACAGAGATGAAAACTTTGGTTGAAAAAGGCTTGAAATGGCTTTTTACTCAAGCTTAGAAAACAGCATAAGGTTCCTGCCAATTAAACAAGATTTAAAAGTGAAAAATGATAGAAAAAAAGAAAAAAATGAATGCTTTTTTCAAACGTTTAATTTCAAAATGGAATGAAAATACTTAATGTCAAAACATCTGATGAGATGCACTGATAATCTAAAATGCCAAAATCCATTTAACATTGGCTAAAGTTGATTTGTAGATCATGTTTAAATATTGTATTGACTTATTAAATACTTATTTGACTGGCATGGTTTTAAGAATGTGAGCTGTTCCCATGAAATGGTAACACGTTGATGACAAATGAGCAGTAATGAAAGGTAATAGATGTTAGAAGGCATACTCTTACTCGTAAGTGCTTATCTAGCGACTGATGCATTGCGTTTTTCAAAGCATGATGACATGATTTTCAAATGTACAGAAAAGTGTCTTTCTCACAGAGTTATTTAAATGTAATATTTTTAAAAAATGTATCTGAAGAGTGTCCAAGCTAGGTAAAATGCTATGTGATTGATATCACATCTATTGTCACTGGTATTTTTTTCTCACATAGTTTGAAATGGGCTTGCGTGTTCATTTTTCAGCTTTTCTTTCATGCATACATTTTTCTGAGTTAATGTTTCATATTTATTTTCATTTTTCCATTAATTTCTTCCTCTTCAGGTGCAATCTAGCTCCTGTGGTGGAGTTTGCTGCAGATGTGGGAGCTAAATCTGATTTTATTACCATGAACCCATCAGTTGTACAAAGAGCGTTTGGAGGCTTTCGGAATGAGAGTGACAGAGAAAAATTTGTGCATAGACTATCCATGCTGAATGACAGTGTCCTTTGGATCCCTGCTTTCATGGTCAAAGGCGGAGAGAAGCATGTGGAGTGGGTTAATGCATTAATCCTTAAGAATAAATTGAAAGTGCGAACCGCCTATCCATCACTGAGACTTATTCATGCTGTCAGAGGGTAAGTGTCTGGAAAAGACTGGTCTGTCCTTGGCACAATGGGACTCGTATAACTAGGCTTCCTAGCAGACAGAAAGAAGCTCTAGCATAATGTTAAAAGGGGCATGGTATTTCCATTCTTGTCGTAATGGATTGCATTTATGATGAAGTAAATTTGTTTGGTAATAAATGTCGTCCACTCTTTTAGGCTGCTCTAAAGCAAACAACTGGAATGCATTAGCGCTATAACTTTTCGCTTCCACTTTTATGTACAAAATGTTTTTATTGCCATTATAATGAGAAATTGGTGAGAAAACAGAGTGAATTCAGAGGATACGTAGGAGTCTTAGCACACCAGAGGACAATGAAAGTGCTAAATGGCTTCTTTTGGGCAAGGCTATGGAGAAAAAAAAACTATAAAGCAGAGGGTGTTAGGTAACGACTGTGTAAATAATGAAGAAATCTGGCAGATCTCTAAATACGCAGCTCCTTCCCAAACTGTCCAGGGCTTTTCAGGCCTTTTGAATTTGGGCAGATGCTTGGACAATTCAAAAAAGTGATCAGAATCACTGAAAGCATTCATGTAGCCAATTGTTTTTCAAAAATATCCATCTGTGTTTAGTGTGGAGCCCTTTTTTCAACGTCATAGTCAAACATGACTATTAGAGGAAGGCTTTCCATGTTGTTGTCACTCCAAGGCTAGAGTATTTAGAGCTAAAAAGCACTCAGAAGATGATGGTGGTGCAATACATACCTGTTAGGTGAATTACCGCAATGTGAAGCGATTCAGCTGGTGTTCCTTGAACTGTGCTGTCTGTTTGTGGGGTTTGGAGAGATGCTTTAAAGTATTGGTATTGGCTTGTGCAACCGTGAATGACTATAATACCAGTCTGAAAAATTGCTTGTTACATCAGCAGAGAGAAGATTAGAGGGATTGTTAGAACTGATGCCCCAATATAATAGATGAGAATGAAGTCTAACATACATTGGTTTTGAAGCTATTAGGGCTTTTGAATATGGTATCCTCTTTCTGCTGTGGCCAAAACAGATTAACTGTTGTGACCTTCATATGGTACACTTTTGGCACTGGAGGAAAAAAAAAGGTGTCCCTTTCAGAATTTTTAATTTTTTCAAATTTTGTACCGAGTTGTTTGTTTTGCTGGTAGAGGGTTGTTTTGTTATTCAGTTACACTTCAGTTACGTTTTGGGCTTTCAATGTTTTGAATTTTTCAAGTAATCAAAGTGCCTAGAGCACCCAGACCGGTGCAGTTGTCTTTGCATGTGTGTATAAATCAAAAGAAATAAGTTCACTTTCAGTTTACAAATAGCAGTTCTCATTTCCATCTGCTAAATCTAGCCAACATTGTCCAAAGTGAATGGTAATTCAGGATGCGCAGTCTTGCAGCTGGCCAACTGGAGGTTCCTTCAGGGCGTCTTGTCTTAAAAAAAGATTTAGCACTCACATTGTCTCTCTGAAAGAAAAGCAGCAAAAGCTCTGCCATCAAAATTGCTATTTGCTTTTGAAAATTTAGATTATACCTAGCAATAGCGTACAATGCAGCGGCACAGATTTGCTGGCCTGTTGAATCTGTGCTCTAAGCCTGAGGCCTTCTTCAACCTTCAGTGCTGAATCACCTCGTCTTCCCTTTTCTGCTCTTGCGGGAGGTGGCACAATGTCAGCACGTATTCTGTACTATTTGTTTTTATAATCTGAATAAAACGCACCAAGACGTCAAGAATTACAAGTCAAATTTATCTTTGGTCTAGCTCTTGAGTTACAAAGTGTGATGCACAGAGTGAGTACGTCTTCATGAGTCAAATTTGGAAGTGACGCAACTAGAAGTAAAACATTTGGAACAAATATTCTTTAAATTTCTTAGAAGGCAGACTTAAAATACCAGCACATAATAATGAAATTTGTTTTAAAGCGAAATTAAATCGAGGGAAAGAATATAATCTCTGTACAGATCTGATCATCTTTAAGATTTGTTTGGTTTATATTTCAAGTAGAATGGTGCGTAAAATGAGAAATTGGTAAGCAAAAGCTATTCTTAAAATGTGCCTGAGCTAAAAATTAATATTCCTTATAAATAAATGAAGTAACTTGAAAAATAAAGTAAAATTTAAGGCTGCCTAATGTGCTTATGAGATCAGCCCATTTGGAAGAGTAAGGCTTGGGAAAGTTTAAGCGAGTTACAGCTGCTAACTTCAGTTCTAGTTTGAAACAAATGGACAGCTAGTTCTGCTGCCATTTAAACTGGTGTGTGCAGTTTACCTACCCACACACTTAGTTCTAAGGGAAAACTTCATAATACGGTATTCTGTGTGTAGTTATCTGTTCATCTGCTCATTTTTTATTTTAAATCCACTGTAAAATGATATATGAACCTCTTAAGAGACATTTTCTACAAGGAACTCCTATAAAACTCCCCTTGTTTTATGAATCTGAACTTGTTTTTGTATAACATTAGTTTTGGATGCTTTTGAGTACTCTGTACTTGCTAGGGTAAGTCTTCGTGAGCATGTTAAGTAAACAGTGATAACCTATTAGAGACCAGAGGTGCTGCAAAACAGGAAGGATACAATAAAGTGAATCTAAAGATTGCTGGATGAGAAGAGAAAGCAGAAAACCTGCCCACAAAGCTGCATGTTAAAGCATGCAGTAAGACTGTCCAGAGCATCTAGTCCCTTTCGTAGGGTAGCAGAGCACACTTGCCTCGCTGTGAGAGTGCAGGGTTTGTGCTACATCTTTCACTGTCTAAACCAGAAGAGGAAACAGAGTTAGCGATATTGATGAAAGAATCATAAGAAAAGCTGAACTGCAAAAAGTGCTTTTTGTAGAGTGTTTTATTTTACAGGAGGAAATTACTTGCATGTACGCTACGGGTGCAACCTTTGCTCTGTGGGATGCCAGCCTTGCTAGCATTTCCTGTCTTTGCCCTTGAATGTAGCTCAGTGGTTTTCATTAAAATCTATAAAAGCATAGAGCATGCACATGGGACTGTAGCATTTGCAAGCGCTCTCTTGTATTTGCAGTGTCCCCAAACTCCATTTAACCTCCATATAGATAAATATTCCCCTCTTTTGTTCCCTTTGTTTGCCTTGATATTTCCAAAGGCCATACGGCTTTACTCTTTGTTTGAGTGTGCATATTTTGCATTAAATAGTAATTTATATGAAGGTAGTTAGAGCTGTTTTAAATTAGACCTTAATGATAAAAGAATCTGTCAGGAAAGTCAGTGTGGCTCTTATGTTGCTTTTTATCTCTTGAAATCCTTCCAAAGTCATAACAACCGAAACACTGAGATTTTGTTAGACCCTGCCAAAGACATAATACCAGGAGGATCTACTGAAGTAGTGTCCTGAAGTTGAAAACATATTCTGATGGAGACGAATAAAAGGTGCAGTTTTATGTTTAATAAGCTAAAAGAGGCCATTAAGCTGTACTGGAAGACAGAGATTTTTATACTGTAGAGATAACAGACTCATTGCTACTTATGCAATCACGATGCTTTTCCTTTTGAGGACTACATCATGTCCATTCTGCCGGCTATAATGAGGGTCTTATTTGATACTTGAACACCTTATTGCATTGCAGCTACAAGTCTTCATATCCTAAAAATAAAAAATTCCGTGTTATAGGGCTGAAAAATGTCTGAAAGAGGTGGTATCTATCCTGAAAAACTTACAACATTTAAAAAAAGCCCACTTTGTCCTTTGTCAGTGTAAATTTAAATTGATGACCAGAGCGCTCTGATTTAATGCACCTAAAATTTTATGAAAAATAAGAAAACACAGGGTATTGTGAGCTAAATGATTTTATAACTAATGTTTATATTTCCAACCTAACGTGCTAAATAGTAATAAAGAGATTTAACGCCAAAGGGTGCAGGCTGATGGCCATAAGGTTTGGAAAGGATTGTCCCTATTCTTTTTCTGTGAACCATACTGCCAAATTGTCCAGGCAAATTAGTTTTTTCCTTCATCATTCTTTAAAGCATAAGGCACAGGCAATTTCTAAAGACAGGACATTAGTCTTGTTAGACTGCTGTTCTGATCAAGTGTGGCCAAATTATGTACTGTTTTACATACAAACAGGGCAGTTCTGCAGCAATTGCAGATGGCAGTGAAATTCTCTCCCCTAATTGTTCTTTCTCTTGTAATGAAAGCAATAAAAAGCCCACAGGGTTTGGGAGTTGCTCTTATTCAGATAGTAGCATAATGACTATATTCTGAGGACATTTTGAAAAACTTTTTTTTTTCTGTCCATTTATGCCCTTTTTGGGTCATAAAAAAGGTAATGTGGTGTTCAAAAAAGAGATTGCTTTTCTGCAGATTTCATGCCCTATTAAACTTCTGTGAGTGATGGCTACTTCTCTAAAATCTCAGGGGATTCAAAGTTTTGTGAACACAGATTTTGTAAATACTAAGTCCAGGATGGTAATTACCTTTCTAACCATTAGCCTTAAGCGGCCTTCAGATTCAGATTTTGACTTAGGCAGTTTTTTGTCCAAGAGATCAGGTGATTGCATCTGATAATCTGGTTTTCCACGTTTTCTTTGTATTTTTTGGTCATAGAGTTTGTTATTGCCCCTTAACATCTGGGATTCTGAACGTGATTTTGGAGCAGTTGCATGACTTTCTCATGCAGTGTTTCTAAAAGCTTTTTTATGGAACTTTTAACGTAATTGTGCACACATTATTGACAAAATAATTGAGGTAATCAATACCTAACAGTGTTCAAGATGGAAGCAGAACCTGTAAATGAAGAGCTTAATTGATTAAAAGGTTTTCTTTGCTCTCTAATGCCACTAGCAGGAAGGTTAATTATAAAGTTATTCTAATGAGCAGACCACACAGCTTTTAAAAAATAAATTGAATTAAACACCAAATTTCAGAAACCTTGATTTATTAATAGACCTGAGATTTCATGCTGAACTGTTTCATTAGGATTATTTTGAATAACAATTTCCAAGTGAATGATAGCCTTTGAGGTGCGGACAGTGTCTGTATAGAGTCCAG